CTCAGAGCCTCTTCCAACCCCAATTCCCTCACGTTGACCCCGTTGTCACCGGATAACGCGAGGGGAAAAAATTCTGTGACCTCCACGAGGAGCGGGTGACTCCGATTTGCTGACAATGCTAAAATTACAATTTTTGCTGCTGTGGGTTAATTAAAACCACAATTTTTGGGTGCAGTTTGGGCACTAATGTTGTTCCTTTTCCTGTTTTTGCAGAGGGTCACCGGACAGGGATGGAATCGTAAGTATTGCCCTCCTTCGGTGTCACCTCCCCTCCATCACCAGAGTTGTTTTTCAGTTAATATAGAAAATAAATGAGAGAATCCATGTGAAAAATGGTAAATTCCATTTTTTCTATAAAAAATACCAGCACAGGGAGGCCTGGGGGGAGAGGGACCAGGTGTCCTGCTAAACCCAGCTCCTCATCCTCCTTTCCTCTCCTGCTAATTGGCTTGGTCCAGATTTACTGCCTGAGTTCAGGGGTAATTGCCACAGCAGCTGTTTCCAATCTCTATTTTTATTTTCTATATCAACCTGAAAACAAGGAGATGTTTGTGGTTTGGTTTGTTTGTTGTTTGCTTTGCATTTTTTTTTTTTTTTAAGTTATTGCTGCTTTTATTCCTGGTGTCGGGCAGAAATGTCCCTCTAGAGCTGGGCAGGAGATGGATCCTGTCTCCTTCAGTGTTTGAGATCAAAAATACCTTGGGGTTTATTTTTTAATTTTTAATTTTTTTTTTTTAATTTTTTAAATTTTTTTAAAATTTTTTTAAATTTTTTTTAATTTTTTTTTAAATTATTGCTGCTTTTATTCCTGGTGTCAGACAGAAATGTCCATCTAGAGCTGGGTAGGAGATGAACTCTGTTTCCTTCAGTGTTTGAGATCAAAAATACCTTGGGGTTTATTTCTTTTTATTTTTTTTTAATTATTGCTGCTTTTATTCCTGGTGTTGGGCAGAAATGTCCCTCTAGAGCTGGGTAGGGGATGGACTCTGTCTCCTTCAGTGTTTGAGATCAAAAATACCTTGGGTTCAGWCTGGGCTTTACTTCTGGAGCAAATCCTGATTTTAGAATTCAAAACAAAGTTGAGCCCCTGGTAAGGCTCAGCAGGGAGAGCAGGGCTGGGGTATCTTTTATAAAAGATTAAAATWTGGCGGGGCGAAGCTGCTCCTTTTGAGAAATAAGGTTTTATTTTTAATTTTTCCCCCCAATCTGACCCAAAATCCTTGGCTTTGGGCTCTCCCCGTGTTTTTGAGGGGCTCATTAGGAAATATAAATTAAAATTAGTTTGCAGCTCAGGTGGTGCCTTCAGCAGGGCTCTATTCAGCACGAAGAAATGAATATTTGGCTGAGGCTGGAATCATGGAAAAGGTGCTCAGGGAGGGTGATTTTCCAGCCTGGATAATTCCATAAATTTCCAGGGATTGTCCCCTCTGCCAGCAGGAATCCCACGTGTGGATTCTCCTTGCGGGGATCTCCGGTGTCCTCTCCAAGGATCCCAAAATGCAATTTTTAGGGAGCATCACAAAGCTCCCGAAGGTGTTTGAAGCAGAGCAATTGGAAATGGAGACATTTATTATTATTTTTCATCCTCCAGCCCATTTTTCCCATAATTTTTGGAGCCACGGGAGTGGCCAGAAGGTAAATTCTGACTGCTGAATAGAGTCTGTAGAAAAATCTGTATTTAATCCTGGTGGAGCCACAGCTTTCCTCAGAAATCGGTGTCTCCTGGTTCCTCGTGATTTAGTTTCGTGTATTTAAGAGGAAAACCCCAAAAAAMCAKCCYGGGAGCAGATCTTTTAACCCTTTTTCTGCCGCCCCCGCCCTCRCAGCAGCCCAGCCCTCATCCCAATGATCCACCCGCCAATAGCAAACCCGAGAGCGCGCGGGAAGGAGGAAATAAAAACGGGGTAAGGAAAACTGAGCTTGGCTCCCCGCTCCCAAAAAGGGGTGGAAAGCAGGGAGTCAGCCTGGGTTGGGAATCCGGAGTGTGGGATTCCCTATAGGGTCAGCCAGGTTGGTGGAAATGGGGTTAAACACAAGGGGATGGGGGGAAAGGAGTTGTGTGGAACAGAATCCAGAATTCGCACAGAACGGAATCCAGAGGGAGTTTTCCCATTTTTGAGCTTCCAAAGAGCGGCTCCATCCTCGGGGTGAGGAGGAGAGGGGCTGGATCCAGCCCCGGAGCAGCAGGATCCCATCGGACCCTTGGCAGGGAACTCGGGGAGAATGCTCAAGGGAGTGGGATTATCCCGTTTGGGTGCCCAAAACTGTGGGGTCAGCCCCACTGGGCTTGCTGGTCCCTGGCCATGGTGGCCATGGGGTTTAGGATGGGGTTTTGGACAGGGTTTTGGATGGGTTTTAGATGGATATTGGGGTTTTGGATGGATGCTGGATGGGGTTTTGGATCCCGTTTGGGTGCCCAAAATTGTGGGGTCATCCCCACTGGCCTTGCTGGTCCCTGGCTGTGGTGACCATGGGGTTTTGGATGGATATTGGGGTTTTGGATGGAGTTTTGGATGGATATCAGATGGGGTTTTGGATGGATGCTTGATGGGTTTAGGATGTGGTTTTGGATGGGGTTTTTGGAGGGCATTTTGAAAGGATGCTGGTTGGGGTTTTGGATGGGTTTTGGTTGGGGTTTAGGATGGATATTGAGGTTTAGGATGGGGTTTTGGAGGGATTTTGGATGAGGTTTTGGATGGATGCTGGCTGGGTTTTGGATGGATATCGGATGGGGTTTAGGATGGGGTTTAGGTTGAATACTGGATGGGTTTTGGATTGGGTTTTGGATGGTTATTGGATGGACATTGGATGGGTTTTGGATGAATATTGGATGGATATTGGATGGATTTTGGGTACCCAGAGTAAACCAGGAAAGGATTCCAGAAGCAATGGGTGCCTGGAATTCCCTTGGAAATCCAAAGGGAATTCCCTGGATCCAAAGCAGCAATCCCTGTGTGTGTGTTGATGTATCATAGCATGGACTAACTCATCCCAGACACTTCCTGCTGCTCCATCCCAAATTCACGATGCCTGGAATGCTGGATAATGGGATCCGAATCCTTTCTGGGATTCCCTTTTCTTGGGGAATAATATTCCCTGATAAAAACTCCCCAAAAATTGCGCAGTTTGAGAGGCATCAGGAACTTCCACTGCTGCCAGCTCTACCCGAGGTCTGGAGCTCACCAGCATGAGGAGAAACCATCATTTCCTCATTTTTCCTTAAGGAATGTTGGAAAAAAAAAAGAAAAAACAAAAGAAAATAACCCAAACCTTTTCAGCTCTCTGGAATGGGAGAATCCCAGGAATGGGGGAYGCTGTGGGGTTTGCTGCTGTGGGGTGGGCTGTGCTCCCCATTCCTGCACTGACACTCTGGGATTTTCCTTTCCAGAAGAAAACCAATGGAGCCCCGAACGGATTTTACGCGGAGATCGACTGGGATCGATACGTGAGTGCCCCGTGGAGCTTCCCCCGAGGAATCCCGAGCTGTTCCCACCCTGATCTGGGGATTTTGGGGTGGTGTCCAGGCACCAATTCCACACCAGGAATTCCCAGCAATGA